TGTAAGACATGGCATGTTAATTTTATAAGTCATAACAAGTAAATTAACAGGATGTGGTTTATTTATCTTTAACAAATGCACGATAAAAAAATGGAATAAAGTAGCATAACTGTAAATGACCTAGCAACAGAGCCATCTGACAGAAAGCACATCTAACAAAGTTTGTTTCCAAAAAGTGTTGAAATATGTCATATTTCTGTTTAGCTCTCATAATAAACATCCTAAATATCAAACAAGTTCAAATGATCAGGAAGCCAGTTGTTCAGGATGTTTTAGACTGGATTTGTGAATCCTCAAACCAGATAACCTTGTCCTTGGCCAAACATCAAAACCGACCAAGTGCCTACACACAATTTCCTTTTCAGATTGTTGGGTGTAGTGCATTATTTAAACAATGTCTTGATCTCCTGTAGTCTGAATTGGCTTCAATGTTAACATGAGCTAACAGCACACATTTAAATCTACACACCTGTGAGCTTTGTGTAGGCCTCCATGTTCTTAAAGGCTGTAGAGAGAGTGAACATCCTCCTCCTGATCCTTCAATCTGAATGTGATCGTCTGCTTTCAAAAAAGCCTCTGCAATCCTGTGTTCATATCAAATTATTATTACTGATGAGATAGTGAATCATGATGCAGATTGAATAATCGAAAACAGAAGGAGACCAATCTTATATTTGGAGTACTAACTTCTGAAGGTAGACACTTACATTTCTTGTATGATTGGCTTACTCTATGCTGACAGGCTCTTTTGTGGAGACAGTGTCTTGTATAGAACAAGTGGTACATATGGTCTTCCTTCTGTTGAGGTTAGGACTGTAGTTTAGTCATAAATAACAACATTATCAGTTTGCTTTCAATTATCTGTTTCAAGCTCAAGTGTGTCAGCACCTTGTCTCTGGTGCAGATAGTTTTCCTTTTTCCTTTTTGCAGTCTTTGTCTTCAACCTCACACACCTGGCAAACTGCAGGAAGCGACGAAAGTCAAAGTTGTTCTTGATCCCCAGGTAGGAAGAGTCCCTGAGTAGAGGCAGATGAGGCAAGGTGAAGAAAATAGGTGTAAGAGGGAAACTGAATTTACTGGAGAGTTTTGTAGCCTATAATTTAAAATAAATCAGGAGAATAATGCATTGTTCACGGTAAAAAAAAAGAGTGCTGTCGCGGTCTTCATCACAAAATGAATTGCTCTACAGCACTTCATTAAAACCTGACCTGGCCAAGTAGTCAAACTTGTCCACATCAACGCCGTTTTTTTTGTTGGACACAATTTCATAGAGGAAGGACCATTCTTTTGAGCGCCCTTTGAACTGCAACTGCAGGGATGACGACACAAAGCGAATCAGGACCAGTTTTATTGACACGTATGTTGTTCAATGAATTTACACTGCATAGAAAAAATATGTAGGACCATTCCACAAAACAGAGATAAAGCTAAAATATGAACACAATAAACTATGTACATGAAAAAGCATGACAAACAAAACAACTGTTCAATTTTAAGATCTGAGTTCGGCAGAAGAAAAACTTTTTTTACCGTTTAAAACAAAAAGGACTCTTCTTGTCCGCCTTTATACTGAATGTTACAAAATAGTGACATTAGTGGCATTGCTGTAGGACACAGACTGATTTATGCACAGATGAGAACTTGCCTTCTGGTCTTCAGCAATCATCACCTTAATGTTTTTCACATGTTCAGGTTTCAATCCATGCTTCGCTTTCATCAAATCATGAAAAATATTGCAAGAAGACAAGGAACTACACAAATAGCACAACCAACATTTGCAGAGTAGATCTCAAAACGTGTGTAAACACTTTAAATGTCAGAGTTCCTCAGAATTCGATGAGTGACTTAATGTCAGCCAATCTTCTGTGGACATATACTGTATACAACATCCTAACAGTCTTTATCAGGGTTATTTGCTAGCTGAACTCAACCCAGAGTCAAACTGTTAAGCATAAGAGTTTTTGGGAAGGTGATACTGCAGCTCAGTTTTCTCTCTAAGGATTTTTTCACACCTGGATAGTTTGGAAAAGTTGTTCTGAAACCATAGCCCGGTTTGTTTGATAAATATGTGAACACAGCAATCACACTCTTTTAGCTGCTCAACTTTTTTGATCTATTTTTTTATTGAATGGTGCACTGTGTGCTCCTTTTTTGGCTATCTTTGCTCTTTGCTGCCGTTGTAGGATGAATAAAGTTTTATCTTCTCTTATCTAATATTCATACAGTATCTTATCCGACTTCTGAAAAACATAATGAGGTGAACTTGCCTCCTGCTCTTTAGATTCCTGTAGAGGTCCAGCAATCATCTCCTTAATGAATGTTATGTCTTCTTCAGGTTTCAGTCCATACTTCATCATTGGTTTAAGATTATTCTCTTTCACCAGGTGGTCTAGCATGAGACGAGAGCCCCTTTCATGCTGCGAGACACACAGACTCATAAATGTGTCAACACAAGATTTAATACATAAATACAATAATCCCATACTTTAATTTTCCCCACATTGAAGAGTATATCTCAAACGTATGTATGTAAAACAACTTACAATGTCAGAGTTCCTAAAGCGCTTCAGAATTTGATGAGCCACTTAATGTCAGCCAATATACTGTATACAACATCTTAACAGTCTTTATCAGGGTTATTTAGCTAGCTGAACTCAACCCGATGTCAAACTGTTAAGCATAAGAGTTTTTGGGAAGGTGATAATGCAGCTCAGTTTTCTCACCAAGCGTTTTTTCACACCTGGGTTGTTTGGAAAAGTTGTTCTGAAACAAAGGGGCGTTTCCCCTTTAGCCCGGTTTGTTTGGGTGTAAACACAACAATCGCACTCTTTTGATCTAAAGTTATTGAATGGTGCACTGTGTGCTCTTTTTTGGCTATCCTTGCTCTTTGCTGCCCGTTGTAGGATGAATAAAGGTTATCTTCTCTTATTGAGTGACAAAGAGACATAAATAGATCTAGAAATCCCTTCTGCTTTTAAAAGAGGTCCCTGTCATAAATAAGTACCTCTCATGAACCATGAATTCAATTATTATCTTTGTTTGTTGTATCTAAATCCCTGAATCACCAGGATTAATGGTTAAAACAGAAACATTATTAAAATCTCATGGAGCTTCTGAACAGCGGTAACATGTCAGATAAAAAGTTGACATATTATTACCAAAGAGAACAGGGTATGGGTCATTTAGCAACACAAGCTACAAAGTTCATTGTTATTAAAGAAATAGATCAACATTCTTGGAAATGTGCATAATCACATTACACCTGAAAAAGCAAACAAAAATCAACATCCTGGATTTTGTTTCAAAAGAACAAGCCAGTGTGAAAGGTACATGTGCTTCAGTTTTGCCGTTCCTCTGTATTTCATTTGTTATATTACTTAGACTTAGACTTTCTTTATTGTCATTCAAACTTGTACTTTACAGTGCAGATAAGAACGAAATTTCGTTGCATTTGGCTCGTTGTAGTGCAGGATAAAAAACAGCAGCATGTATTTACATATAAAAAATAAAAATAAGGTGCAGATATAAATAGATATAAAAAGAAAAAGAAAGAAAAACTATGAGTAAAGAAATAACAGAAATAAAAACTTCTTACCTTCCATTTCTTTAATTTCCTCTTTTTTTCCAGTGCTTTGGGGAGGAACAGTCCATCATACAGATGGGAAAAGGGTCCATGACCTTGAAATGGATAGATAAATACAGGCGTAATCCATTGATAGTGTACAGATTATACAGTCAGTATGTTTGTTGAGTTTGAACGGATTACTCCTGAATCTAAACTTGAGAATATTGCTTACAAGAAAGACTGTTATGTGTTTGTAAATGTATGCATGGTCTGGGTGGACTGTGGTACCGAAACGCCCTCTGGGTTAAAAAAAAATTCTGAGTCTAAATATTATTTTTAAAGATTACAGCCCTCCAGTTCTTATCAGAGTCCTTACAGACCGAGCTACCACCACCTCACCCACCCTCCTATTTTTTATTTATTAATGCAGAAGCCCTTGCTTTTTTGAAAGATGGAAGGGTTATTTCTGGATCATTTCACTTTCATTTTACTCTTTTCATACCCAATAACATAATTTATAAACTATTATATGTAATATTGAAAAGGGATGTATTACTCACCCAGGTCATGACAGAGGCCAGCAATCTGAACACAAAGGACGTCTCTGTCAGTGATGCTGAGATCCGGCTGCCTTGACCTGAGAGCCTCAGCAAGTTTTCCTGCTAAGTATCCCACCCTTTTTAGACCACAGAAAACTTTTTTTTTTAAAGTCATAACGCAGTTATCACAATAGGATGCTGCTACCAAAATGAAAATATATACTTTTATAAGATCCATACTAAGACAGGCACTGTTTTCTGCCTTTATTGGTTTTACAAGGTGCTTATGTGAAAACCATGAGTCTTCTCCTTATTTGGACTGAGGTCACCTGTGGGCTGAAATCTGAAAACTTGCTGACTTACCCGATTGAGTGTTCAAAGCGGTTGTGAGACGCTCCAGGGTAAACAAAGTAGACACCTCCAAGCTGCTTTATGAATCGAAGTCTCTGGAACTGAGGTGTGTCAATGATCTTGATGAGGAGTGGGTGTAACTCTATGCTACCATGGATGGGATCATTAAACACCTGGCAGAAAACAAACAAACAAAAGCTAAGAAAAATGAAATGCCAAAAACAAAACAACACCATGAAGACCAGCTCAAGATTGCCTGAGGGCTCTGGGAGGTATAGGATAAGCATGAAATGAGCCCAAGAATAAAGCTGATGCTACAAAGAACGTTTTTTTGACTTTACCACTGGTTGGGATATTAAACATCTAGTAGAACAAAGAGAACAAAACATTGGACACTGAAAATGTCCTTTCAATACAAAGCGTGTCTTCCTATTCCTTTTTTTTAAGTATTGAAGGAAAGGAGAACAAAGAGGGTTGATTTGGATAGAAAAGGTGAACAAAGCTAGCTGTCCTCACCACTGGTGGGGATATTCAGCATCTAGTAGAACAAAGAGAACAAAACATTGGACACTGAAAATGTCCTATTTCAATAGCCTACAGTCTGTGTTCCTCTTCCTTTTTTTTAGGATTAAAGGAAAGGAGAACAAAGAGGGTTGGTTTGGATAGTAAAGGTGCACAAAGCTAGCTGTCCTCACCACTGGTGTGGATAATAAGCATCTAGAGAACAAAGTCCTCCCAGTTAATTCGATTTTTAATTTAGACTGATAATGGATAATACATGTACACAGGCTTAACTTTGTGGAGGTGTGTTTGTGTGCGGTTTATTCTACAAGTCGTCATTGTTTGTTCTGTTTATTCTCTCTTATCTCTCCAGCCGCAAAAATGTGGTGTGATGTGTGGTAAGACGTGAAGTATTTTACCTTGGTGATCAGTCTGTAAAATTTAGAAAAAAAAAGCATTAACAGTATGAACAAGTGCTGAAACTTCCAACTTAAAATGATTTCTTTATAAAGTTGAGATATTTTAAACTGGTTTAACAAAGACAGAGGTACTCACTTATTTCCCATTTTGCCCCGACTTGTTCTAGATAAAAGAGCAAGAAGTTAGTCTTCAGTCATTTATTAAGTAACCTCAGTTTTACACAAGCTAAAATGCAACATTGTCAAGTTAAACCATGAGTTTAAAATAACCATGGATACAACTTACCAAACCAGAAAACAAACCATGAATTTAGTCGACTGTAACTAGAAAACCGACCTCTAAATTTTCCTCCAATCGTCCTTCTTTTTGTACCAACTCATTTCCTCAGCTACCTGTGACTTAAAGATCAAATCTATCTATATAGTTTTTAATGTTTTGAAGCCGTAAGACGTTGCATTTACATCAAGCTAATGTTTCTGATGCTGATCTGACAAGTGTCAAATGTCATTTATATAGCCATAGCTGCTTAAGGCTTTTTTTTTATGACGCTCAGGGTTTTAAAACATCTGACATTTATATCTCCACCACACCCATGTCATTGGTCTTTACCCTCATAATGATCCTCTTCTTTTATTGATATACCAAACATTTCAGAAAACAAAACTGAAAGTGCATCAGAATTTCTTAAGTCAAATTAACAAATCTAAACGTATAAAGAAGTGAAGAAATGACAGGATGTTAGAAATAAATCAGTATTAGAAGTTACTTCTGAAGAAACATTTAGAGGAATGTTGCATGTTTAACCTGCTCTTTAGACAGAGATTTATAGTGTACTCTATTTGAGGACTGCAATTACATCAAATGGCCACAAGATGGGAATGTTGCTGAACTTCTATGGTAAAGTGTGCCCTGACCATTTGAAGAATGCTCTGAAGGAGAAATTTTAAACAGGATCTTTTTTGTGTTGCTTTTGTCATAACTTTCAGAAAGGAAACGTAAGAAACCCCCAGACTGTAAAAGATTTTCTCATTCTATGATGACAAAGATGTTCAGCCTCATGATGTATCCAGAAGCATGTAAAGGAGGTGAACATCTGTCTGTCATCATTCTATCCAAAAATAAAAGATGAGACTATAATATATGACCTCCAGTAACATCCAGAATGAGCACATTGCAGATGTGTTTTTATCAATGTGACATCTCCTACTTTTTCTTCTGAGATTACTTCTGATTGCAGACATAGAAAGTTGTTTAAAGATAATATCTATGTTAACATATCTCACTTTGTTATCTTACTTCCATAAAGAGTTGGTTTTCTTAATTTCATCACAAAGATATGACTTTATTCCCAGGTCAGGTATCTTTATAGGGCTTATAAATATCAATTTTTATCATCTAATTTCTGCTGAGGCTTAAGTTTTGTTTTAAACTGAAAGAAGGATGTCAAAGTCAAACTGATTCTCCGTGCAACAACACAGATCAAACTTAAATGACAAATTGTAATCTCATGTTAGTATAACTATTGATTTTTTTAAAAGTCAATGATGTACTAAAACTGTAATATCTGGTACTTTTTTAGGCTACTTATTTTGACATATTCACAAATTCACAAATCAGTCGTAAAAACCACAAATCAACATAAAGCAAATGAACATAACGTAAGGACAAAGGAACGCAAACTGGAGTTCACATGTTCGTACACAGGATCTGATGCTGTTTCAAAAGTTGATCCTCTTTGTAGATGTTGTGAGTGATTTTAGCTGATGACAAATAGGAAATATTACAGATCTTGATAAATAATGTCAAACCAATCAGAATAATGAAGTAAGTTTCTAAAATTGTTTTTTAAACTATCATTAATACATGTGTTTTATTGGAAATAATTCATAATATATCAACAAAATAAGAATGAAGTAAGGTGAAATCCATTTTACACTCACATGGAGGTTTTTGTTGTTCTCTATAGCAGGTCAGGCTTGGTTTGGATGGAAGAGGAAGTAACAGACCTGAGCGCAGGCTTTTATAAAGTTGTGGTTGTGGCTTAAACAGGTGTGGCAAAGAAGTCAGATATCGGGATGCAGATTGGATGGTGTAACCCATTGGTGTTGATCTAGACCAGGAAAGGGCAACTTTGGTCACAGCAAGGGCCACATATATTTAATTCTCACTGTCAGAGGGCCAAATTGTAGGATATTCTTCGGTGGACTTATAATTCAACCAAAGGAAGGAATACATAGCTTTTATCAGCCTCTATGATACCAACATTCATATTTTAACCTCCAGTACAATTGTTAATCCTTAATTTAATATGCTTACTTCAAAATTAAGTTTATTTCCAATGCAATGAACAGAGTATTTACTGGTTATTTTAGAATATTTTTCTTTCTTTTTTTCAAATGTACACACTAGTGTTGTAGTAATCGAAATCAAGACCGGTCTCGAGACCACTGTTTGAAGGTCTCGTCTTGAAAGTATTTTTACTCTGTCTTGTCTCTGTCTCAGACTGGGCGGACTCCTGATTTTAGATTAAGACCAGTCAAGACCACCTCCGATGCTCCTTTCTAAAAGAACAAATGACTTCAATTCATTTGTAGTTTGATTTTTATCTCTTGGTTACCACCGCAACCTTCCTGGTGTTACTGATGAGTGGTGAGTGACACGCCCGCTGCACACATGATGATTTTAAAAGTGATATTTATGGTCTTGGTCTTGACTTGGTCTCGATCCCTAAATGTCTCGGTCTTGTCTCAGTCTCATATCACTCTGGTCTCACATATGTCTTGGTCTCGGTTAGTGTGGTCCTCACTACAACATCAGTACTTAGTATACTTTCAAGATTCTGAAATATATAAATACCTGGATCAGGTTGTGTTTTAAGTTGTTTATTTCTTGGAGTAAAAGCTCTATCGGGTGGCAGTAGCTCAGTCTGCAGGGACTTGTGTTGGAACCGGAGGGTCGTCGGTTCAAGTCTGGAGATTGGTCTGGTAGCTGGAGAGGCGCCAATTCACTTCCTGAGCACTGTCGAGGTGCCTTTGAGCAAGACACCTCTCAAGGCGTTTTATAACACATTATCACTCACCCCCCCCCCCTCCAGGATTATTAAAGTATTTCTGATTCTGAAATAAATGGCGAATGCGAATAATAATGTGATTAATTCCAATAAACTATTGGAATCTAGTGATTCCAACAGTTTCTCGCTCATCTCCTGCTGCTTCTTTTTGTACCGGCAGAACAAACATGCAAAGTATTCTGCTCTTTGCATAATTTATTTACCTACCACACACACACACACACACACACACACACACACACACACACACACACACACACACAAATTATCAGTTTCTCACAATATGAACATTAGGGATTTAGAATGATATCTCCTGCATCCTGTACAACACTTGTATAAATGTGAACATTTGTGTTAAAATTATATGAACAATCATGATTTGTCATTGTTTCATCATATGACATATCTCTTTTAAAAGCTGTGATTTTTTTCTATGGCTCATCTCCTGCTGCTCCCTGTTCTACCAGCAGAAAGAAAAACAGGCAGAGTATTCAGCTTTGATAATTTATTTACCTACCTCGCCCTACACACCCACACAAAATAACAACACATTAACAGTATTATCAGTCTCTCACAGCATGAACATTTGGGATTTAGAATTACACCTTCTGCATACAACACTTAATGTGTGGTGAAATAATATGTAAACAAGCATGTGATCCATACTCCACACACAGTTTCTGTCATTGCAAATGATGTACAGTTGATTACTGTGTCCTACAAATAAACTTAACATGATGTGATGAAATAGGCAATGTCGACATTAACTCAACCTGTGAAGCATGTGAGGGCAGTCAAAAAACTTCTAAAGGACAGATTAAAAACAATATCAAGTAGTTGGCAGTTATGATGACGTAATGAATGAGTGTTAACATCTTTACAGAAGAATTTATATTTGTTGACTAATACTAATACACTGAAATCTTAATAACGTCTTGGCACTTTATTTTAGAAAGTTAAAAACAGCTTCTAAATGTTTATGGAGAGCTTATAAAATAGGGCGAAAGTTAAGTTCATCAAAAATGATCTTCAAAATAGAGAAGGTCCCAAATTGCAAATTGATGTGCGGTACCTTCCACTCTTTAATCAAACATAGGCACATAGGCAAATTACTATTAACACTTTGTTTTAATTCTCCACTCATGAAGAAGAAAAGGCTGCAAGACAATATGTTTTTATATATATATTTCTACTGTATATTCGGGTGTGGGTAAATAAAAGCACGGGAACAACTTCTACTGTGCGTCTCATATGTTTAATGTCCGTCCGTAACAGAGCATGACATATCCAGACTGAACAACAACAACAGTGACACCTTACTTGTCCTAAAGCAATATCACTCCTCAAACCGTAACCATGGGTAACCTTAAAGGCATAGTGCATCATATCAAACAGATACTCTTGTACAGTACAAATTGTAAATATAAATGAAATTAGCATTAAATCAAATAATGTATATTATCTCAACCTAATCAAAATAAAGATCTATAAAATAATACTTCACAAAAATAAATCTCATCTCCATCTTACACTATCTTTGAAAGTCTTGACACTGGCTGCCTCTTTGTCTTCATATTGATTTTATTATTGTCTAAAGCACTTGGCCTCCCACCAGATTAACTTTTCAGAGTTGATTTTAGTTTATGAACCAGGATGACCCCTCAGGTCTTCTTGTTCTTCTGTGGTTCTTCTTTTAGTTGTTCCACAGAGCAAAAACAAAAACCTTTTGTGATTCTGCATTTAGCTGCTCTGAGACTTTGGAACAGACTTCAGAGGATCAGAGAATATTGAGATTTTTAAAAACAATTTAAAAAACTCATTTATTCAGTCTGGCTTTTCTATATGACTTAATCATTTTAAGGCTTTTAATTTACTATATTTTAATCAATATTATTTTATCTCTACTTTTAAATTTACATTTTAGTGTTTGATTTTAGGTTTTTAGTATTTATATTTATTAATCATCGTGCTGATTTCATTTCTTATTGCTGTTATATTTTACAAACTACCTTTTGTCAGTCATTTTTCCGCTCCTTTGTAAAGGACTTTGAACTGCAATTAGATTTGTACCACAGGTGATATATACAGTATATATATACATATATATATATATAGATGCATATGGTTTGATAGATTACACAATGTTGAACTCAGGATTTTCTCTGATGTTTATTTTGAATACATGCAGATTTTATCAGATATGAACCCATCACAACAGGAATACACTTGAAAGGTTCTCATAGATGCATTATGTAAGAACCAATCGTCAAACAATTATAGCTTCACTTAAAGTGTGTCATACATTTAAACACATTCATCATCCATTGAAGAAAGGTAGTTGATGGATACATTTAAAAATGTATTGTTTAATTCGAATTTCAAGTTTTTAGATGCAAATAAAGGTTTTCACAAGTTCCAGTTTTTAAAGTAAGAATCATAAACTCAAAAGAAGAGCACATTATAAAACATGCCCAAAATAAGACTCATTTTAAAACAGGTTAAAATTGTATTGTGATAATAAATGCTGCAGATACAAAGTAATATAATATAAGATAATACCAGTCACCAAAACATCACTCATGATCATCTCTCATTAAACACCACTCAAAGACAAATAATCTAATCTCATGTCCTCAATCTTCAAACGATTAACATCAAAACTAAAACACCACTGAGTATTATAAATCCCTAAATAAAACCACAAGTGAAATATTCACTCCATTACACATGTTGGGAGTGCTTTACATCGTTCCCCGACCAAAAAGAATTCACAACCTACAAAGAAGCATAAATGTGACCAAAAGCTGAATCAATTCAGAAACATGCAGTTTATATATTCAGTTTGAGACAATGATTGTTGGATTTCAATAATGGCTTTTTTTACCTAAATGGTATTCAACAGCCATACAGCTGCTAGCTGTGTAAGTATCCAGTGTCATGTGTGTCTATGTATCAGTTTAGAGATCAGAAATTCAAATCCAGAAGCGATCCAGATCCAGTGATCTTTGAGATATGGCTTTATAACTGATATATATTTTCCTTAATGTTAAAAAAAAGTATCCAATTTTTTCTGTATCAAATTTTGAATGGGTTTTCTGTGTGAGTCGATAGAAGCGTAACACAGTGAATTAAATGGGCCAATGATACTGTTTCATATTGACTGCAGGCCCCGTAATTGTACAGAGTGGTATCATATATTATGATTTATCTTTGTCCTCAGAATAAAAACATGTTGTGTGTTGTTGGAACTGATTTTTAAACAATCAATTTAAAAGAATGATACAGCATGTATATGATAAAAGCGAGAGAAAAAACACGAGTGCTAGGTCTGAATGCGAATATTATTCAGTGTTATTCATGTTGTTTGGTAAGTTCCTTGGTGTCAACTTCAGGAGGATCGCTCTAATTACCCTCAGGTCCAAGCAGATTTGGCTCCATCCTTAACCTGCATGTTAATACAGACACAAAAGTACATCTGTTTTAAAGAAAGCAGTGCAGAGTAAACCTAGTGAGAGATAAACTGAAGAAGAAATGATTCTATTTAACAAACAATCCAACATTCAACTTATTTTAAATCAAAACAATGCACTCATCATGCAGATCCAACATCTCACTGGTGAGAACTTTCAGTTTTTGTAAATCTCAAGTAATAAAATACATTATTTCAAAGTTTTTGTCCGTTGGTAGGAAAATACAAAAGTTTGAAGACACCAACATTAATTTTGCATCAAAAAAGGATCAAAATCATGTATATGCAAAAAAAAGAATCCTGAAGTTTTGTTTCACTATGCAATCATTCCCTCCCTGCTCATTGTTCCATTCTAATGCTCATATATTAAAACAGCCTTTCAATGTAGTAAAACCACTAACTGCATATATTAATATGTCACATACACACCCATTCAGAAAAGCCAATTTTTACAACAGAAATAAACATGTTTACAGCCCGATTCAAAAACTAAATTGGTCTGATTATCTCATGTCTCAATCAGCACACACTGTATGAAGAGGGATTTTTTTTTTAACATGTCCGTTTTTCTTTTAATGAAGGATACATGTTATTCAAAAATAAGACCCGTAGCTTATAGGCCTGGGCTAAAAAAACTAAAAATGTTGTCAAAATGTCATATCAGTCGATATAATTATCACAATAATTATCAATCATTATTACTTTCAAATTTTCACATTTAAAAGCTGATTTTTGCTCCTGAGTGAAAGTTGAAGAAACCAGAGGGTTGGTTAATCTTTTGGTTTCACTCCCATGCTGCTGTTGCTTACCTCTCTTAACCTGAGGGCCCCAAACCAGAGTCCTGCACGGTTCCAATACAGGTCAGTAAAATTGTTTCAGTACAGAAACCTGACTGACTGTCTAGACTTGCTGTCTAACCTGGATGCAAACCAGGACAAAGGACCAATAACATGTTGGAGTGTTGCTCACTTTGGCAGTATTTTGTTAAGTTAAAGTATCAAATCTATTAGAGTAGAGCTTCACCAGCACAGGTAAGCATATGTTAACCTGAAAGGAAGACCGAAGGCTGAGGATGCTAGCACAGCTAATGTTTTCCACACTCAGCAGATTGTAGATCACATGTTCAACCATATTAAATAAACTGTACTCAGTGTTGACTGTTTTCTATTTACTTCAGCCAAATCAACTGGTTTTATGTTCAATCAACAGCAAGTTAGTCGATATTGTATCCTTTAACATCTTAATATTCAACTATTATCTAAGGATTGGAAAATCATTGTACCACTGTTCAAAGTGCTGTCTGGCAGCCTCCACACTCTGTTCATCAATCTTCTTACAGAAGACCCTGATCAGCTGCTCAGAAAAGATCTCTGTTCTAATCCTGGATGCCTGTAATGAATGACAGCAGCTTTAATTTGAGAGTTATGGTGACATAAGCTGCCTTACAAATAATAAACATAAGAAATATTGAATGATTGCGATAAAAAAATTGTTTTAATCAATAATTAGTTCTGACATTTTCAGGGGACATTGGCATTGCCACGTCAGGCTCCTTCTTGCTGTAGAAATGCATATGTTCAACAGGGTTCTCATCTTTCATGCCGTAGTCCATGTTAATGACCTAAAAAGAAGGTCGAGAGTAAAATGTGTGCCATAACAAACTCTGCAACATCTTACAAATCAAAGAATCAGCAAAATTGAAAATTTTACAAAAAAGTGAGATGAAAGAAAGTAAAAAAAACTCACCAGGATTTCAAAGTCCTCTGGTTTCAGGTTGTTTTCTTCCTCGTCAGGGAGGGGTTGAGCCAATTCTTCTTTCCAGCCAGAAATCCGGCTCTTGACAAAGAATCAGAAAAAAATTACAACAGTGGAAAAGGATATTGATTCAAGTTTTTTGCATTTTAAGTTGACAATGTAAGAAACTTGGAATTCAATTCACATTCACTCAAAAAACTGCACCAACTTAGTGTAAATGCGTTTGACTGTAGGGCTGCATGGTATGATCTAAGCATTAATTTTGCTATGTGTACAAGTGCCATGGTAATATCCCAGGACGTGTGTTAGTCCATGAGCACATAAAGTGTAGAGGGAGAGAGAGTGAAGAGATCATATGCAGTGTATGAAGATGAACTGTTCTTTGCTTAGAAGTTAATGTCACAGGGCTCTTGATGCAAATTAAATGTAGCTTTGAATGTATAAGGGGTTCTTATTTGTAAAAGAAAATAAACTTGAAGACTCAGATAATAATAAAAATTGTAATAGTATGAACATGAAAAGAAAACGCAGTTTCCCCAATATCATGCAGCATTAGTTCACTGAGGGATTTTGTATTGTATGACAACGATATGATAAATGATAACGGTGCATGAGATCATGTATAATAAATGTAATGAAACACAAGAACACAGACTTACTTTCCAATCCTTGATGGTCTTCTTTGGCTTTGTCTCACCAACAAACTTGTAGATCTTTCGAGAGACAATGTTTTGCAGAATCTCTCTTGCCTCTTGTAACTCAGGACGGGAAACTTCAGTATTTCCTCAAACACGTTGTCTAAAAGAGTAACAGAGTAACAAGCAAACGATTATTAATTATACACACAAAAAAATTAGTGAATTTAATTCAAACACACTCAATAAATTGTAAACATGGCATATAATTTATAAGTCATTACAACTTATTTAACATGATCTGGTTCATTTACATGTGCATAATTAAAAAAATTGATAAAGTAGCATAACAGTAGTCTTACACAAACACCAAAACTGACCAAGTGCCTACATCAATTTCCTTTTCAGATTGTTGGGTGTAGTGCATTATTTAAAACAATGTCTTGATATTTCTGAAGTCTGAATTTGCTTCAATGTTAAACATGAGCTAACAGCACACATTTAAATCTACACACCTGTGAGCTTTGTGTAGGCCTCCATGTCCTCAATTGGCTGTAGAGAGAGTGAACATCTCCCTCCTGATCCTTCAATCTCAATGTGACCGTCTGCTTTCAAAAAAGCCTCTGCAATCCTGTATGTTCATATCAAACATGTTATTACTGATGAGATAGTGAATCATGACGCAGATCAACAAATGGAAATCAGAAGGAGACCAATCTATATTTGGAGTACTAAGATCTGAAGGTAGACACTTACATATGTTCAATGACTTTGTTTACTCTGTGCTGATAGGCTCTTTTGTGGAGACGGTGTCTTATGTAGAACAAGTGGTACATATTGTCCTCCTCCTGTTGAGGTTAGGACTGTAGTTTAGTCATAAATAACAACATTACAGTTTGCTTTCAATTATCTGTTTACAAGCTCAAGTTTGTCAACTATGTCTCTGGTGCAGATAGTTTCCTTCCATCAACCTCACACATCTGGCAAACTTCAGGAAGCGATGAAAGTCAAAGGTGTTCTGATTCCCAGGTAT